ATTCTTTCCAGGTTTCTTCTGTTTTCTCACATTAGTTGTCAGAATTGGGCATGAATGGCCACAAGACTGGCCATGATACATGTGGAGGCAACAAAAAATGGCATCCATGTTTTCCATCTGCTATAGTTAAGATATGAATTGAATATACCCCCAGGGTCATGTGTTGGGAGCTTGATCCCCAGTATGCTAGTGTTGTGAGCAGTATAGAACCTTTAAGAGATGGGGCCTAAGGAGAAGTAAATAGGTCACTGAGGGCACTGCCCTTAGAAGGAATTGATGTAGATCTTGTGGGACCATGGTTAGTTTTCATCAGTGGTTGCTGTCAAAAATGGAGCCTGTCTCCTGAATCTCTCTCTGATTTCCTGTCTCACTATATGACTTCTCTTTCTCACATGCACTCACAACATTATGATGCCATCTTCACTAGAGTCCAGCTGATGCCAGCACCATGCCCTTGAATCTCCATAACGATGAGCTAAATGAATCTCTTTTCTTTTCACATTACTGTACAGACACAGGCATTTTGTTAAAGTAACAGAAAATGTACCAGTACATCAGTCTATAGGTTCTTCCTATTATTTGAGTTTAGCACTCCTCCTACCAAGAAATAGAGTAGTTCTTCTATTTTCTTGAATCTGGGCATACTTATGACTAGAGAAAAAATGATTTCTCCAGTCTAGATGATAAATGGTGATATAACTTCTGCTGAATTTTCAAGGGGAACATGTGCTTAATGTAGCCATTAAGCCACAAAGAAGTTTAACTTTGTGTAGGTATTTTGACTATCAGCCGAAGCTGAACAAACATCCACCACCAGACATTGAAGTAAGCAGCCCTTTTAATAATTCCAGTCTCCAGCCCCAGTGTCACTTCCAGCCTTCAAGACTTCCAAGTGAGGCCCCAGATATTATGCGGCAAAGACATCTTCACTATGCCTTTACTGAATTCCTGACCTACAGAATTTGGGGCATAATATAATTTTTTTGTCTTATATGTTTAGGTTTGAGGTGGTTTATTAAACAGCTGTAACAGGAACATTATCCAGTGTTAATCTGCCCAGCCATGCTCTGGGTCCAATATGTTCTAGCCTTTTTTGGAGATCTCATCTTATTCATTCATTCAGTAAATATTTACTGAGTGTCTATCACATGCAAAACAGTATTACAGGCTTTAGAAGATATAACAATGAATGAGACAAACAAGTTTCCTTCCATGTTTAAAC